AAAAACTCATGCTTCAATGTGCAAAAACGACAAACTTAGGATACTATCATGCTAGAATAGAAGTTCTGCCATTATTTCGAGTTCAAGGCCGAGCAAGCAACACAAGTAGAAAGCACCAACTATACATAGAAGAATAAATATGGAAGCCAAAGTGCGATAGAGATGGAACACCCTGCTCCTCTGTGTGTGGTGTACCAGAAAGTGTGCCACTACTCAAAGTAGTATTTTTCTGAAAATCAAAATAAACAGTTTTGACACATGCTGCAACTCCTATGTACGGTGTACCAAAAAATGTGCCACTACTCAATGTAGTGATTGCATCTTCCACATAGTCCCCTTGGAGCATTGGACTTTCAGACTGCAATATATTATTTTTCTCAAAATCAAATAACCGTTTTGACGTATGCTGCAAACTCAGATTACATACTGAAATTAAACACATAGAGAATTGATAGCTGCAGTAGCTACTACAAATCAACTTATATCTTAGTTACTAATGCACATATTTCAGAGGTAGTGACATTGTTTGGAGGCCCAACACTAAAGACAGTAGTTTAGCATAAGAAATTTGAGGATATCTAAGAAGTCAATCGAGCTTACCTTCACTGTTATTGGCTTACTACTTCTCATTCAAACAAGGTCTTGACTCCTAAAGACAGTGGTTCACTAGAAGTTTGGAGCATCCCTTAGGGATTTATGATGTCCCTCATCAGTATTAAGAGCTTGTGATCTAAATAAAATATTATAAGAAAATCTTGGAATAGGAGGTAATGAATGTTATAAGAGATATTATTATTCTAAATCATGACTTGCTAAAAAACAATGTTCAAAAAGGAGACATTAGGCGTCCGCCTAGGCGCGACTAGGCACTAGGCGAGGGGGTCCCGCCTGGCCTAGGCAGTGGCGGACCCCTAGGCGGCGCCAGCTCACCGGCAGCGATGGTGGGGGAGGAGGAAAGCCTGGCGGAGGTCGCCGGTGACAGAGGAGGAGCTTCGGACGCGTGTGGGCGACGGTGGCAGGCGCGTGCGGGCACGTGCTGTGAAAGGGAGGAGGCTGGCCGCGGTGGAGAAAGAAGCAGAGCCGGGCAGCGACGGAGAAGGGCGGAGTCGGGCGTTTGCGGCTACGGAGGGTGTGTCCGGCTAGAAGGAGACACGGATGGATAAGGATAAGCTGGTTCATGCGAATGGAAGGGCCTTTTTCTTTTCTTTCTTTTTTTATAAGAAAAGGATGGAAGAGGCTGGGAGGAGTATGGATAAGATGGGCTAGGCTCTTTTGATGGGCCTTTCTTCCTACTTTAGGTCCACATGTCTCATATTTCTTCTTTTATTTAAGATAATCTATGGTAATATATGAATGTGTATTAATTAAAGTTAAAACATTAAAACGTCTAGAAAAAATGCCTTAAAACGCCTAGGCTCTAGGCTATGGGTCATCGCCTAGCGTCTTTTTGAACATTGCTAAAAATACATATTAGTATAATTCGGATCAAGACTTGCTAAAAATTAAGATTGCAACCTAATATATGAGATAGTATATATAAGTCAGATCCAAACATGCTGAAAATTCAGACTGCAACTAAAACAATAAGAAAGTACTTGCTGTTAATTTAGCATAAAATAGAAATCATAGAGACAACATCAAATTGTTAACTAGCAGAACAAGCAATGTCAACTAGCAGAACAATTACACTTATTACTCATGCTGGATATACTCATGTTTCGGACCTCTATCAATCATGTTTCTTCCAAGACTTAAAACTACATTTATCGAACTGGTATATTGGTTCTTCCAGAATCCTAGTACACTAGAATTTGTCATGCCAAGGTACAAAGTTGAAAGAAATTTAGGTATCTGAATATAAGGGTATTCCATAGTGAAAAGTTTTAAAAAAAAGTGAAAAGTTGATAATGACTTTGAAACAAAATGGCATGTTTTACAAGCACAACCACAGTTAGTCATTTACTATTATTAAATGGATTGTTTGTGAATAGCACATACACATACAGTGACTATAATGTGTTGCTCATTTAAAATCAAAGTTTGACTAATGAAGTACAACCTTCTAAAAAGAATGACTCAAAACAGTTACACTTCATTAATGCTCAAACAATTAAATGGTACAAATATATCATGAGAGACCCTTTCAAAAAAAATAGATGCAAGTCTACTCGTTTCATGGAATACTGTATATCTGTCTGTAAAATTATCATCTTACAAATATGACTACTGTTCACAAAACTTTCTGTTCTACTTAATATTGTAATCAATTCAGGAAACAAGAGAGACCAATTCAGAAATCTTAGATTGGAGGGAAAATATAACAATAAGAATTGCTACATAAGGTGCCTGACAAGCAGGTAACTAGTTTTTAATGGCAAAATTATTTTTGTCAGCAAACTAGTGCTCTCTTCGGTGATGTTCACTGAGAAAACTAATTCATATTTGAGACTAGTATTTTTTGATCTGCATTTAGTTCAAAATCATGTTCTACAAATGATGAAAAAACAGGTAGCAGTAGTACACTTACAAATCAAAGATTAATTTATCTAGCAGTTCACTAAACATTTATCGATACGAAATCAAGTCCAAACTTAGCAGCCAGCCATAAACACACGTGAGATGACCAGATCAAACCATAATTGCATCTACACAAGCAGATAAATCACACAAGGGGGAGATGGAGGGCTGTCTCACATTGTAGTGATGTCTAGAGCACGTGCCGTCGTGGGTAGTGGTGGCTGCCGCCGCCGTGGCCTCGTCCTCCTCAAAGCTCGAACCACCAGCTCCTTCCTGAGCACCTCCTGATGGGCATGCGCTGCCACATCCTGCGCCGCTGCCGCATCTCAAACCGGCGCCGCTGCGAGATCACGGACCGGCGTCGCTGCCGCATCTCGTGGCTACGCGCCTCCCGAGCCACGCTGCTGCTACCTCCTTGGCCCTCGTGGAAACTGCAGCCGCCGCATCCCGGACCTCCGCCGGCTGCCGCTACTCGGATCCGCGCCTCTGCCGCATCTTGGACCCACGCCGCTGACGCATCTCGAGCCCACGCCTCAGCATCCCAAGCCCGCCCGTGGCCGCCTCTTGGGCCTGCGCCGGATCCGGGACCCTCCTCACCAGATTGAGCTCCTCCATGAGGAAGAGAGCACCGGGTGGGAGAGCTGCGGAGAGGGAGCAGGAGAGAGCGAATAGAAAAGGGGGTGTGGAGGGAGCGGCGGCTCGATAGATAGGTTGTGTCCGTGTGTGTTGTGACCTAGGGTTGCCTGGGTGGGAGGGATAGGTGGGCCGACCGTGGGCTTGGAGGCCACACGTGAAAGGTTCATCTTTATTAATTATTTTTTTATTTTAACTAATTAAGACACATTGGTGAATATTCTAATCAAAATAGTACTTGTAATTAAAATATTTTTACATGAAATAAACTGCATATATGTTGTTGCGTAAAAGTACACAAAATTTTGAAAATCATTTACTGTTTTCTATAGTTTAAACAAATTTCTACGTGTCTATATTAAGTTCCAAATAAAAATACGTGTTTCAAATTTCTGCGTGCTTATATTAAATTTTGGTCCATGATCATTTCATAAAGTGGGACTACATGTTCACAGATAGATACATTCAACAAAAAAATACTAAAAAAAACTGAATCCAAGTACATTTAACCACAGATTCATAGCTTAGTGGTTTGTTCATGATTTGGAAAAGCTGAATTTGCGATTTCGGGGAGAGGAGAGTCTAGGGTTCACTGGTGGGCCAAACAAAAATTTGAGAGCGAGCTACATAGAGGTGGGGCACGCGAGCTCAGCGTGGGGCCCATTTTCTTTAGCGACAGACAGATTGACGACATACTTGGCTTTAGCGACAGGTAGTTCAACCTTAAATATCAGTATCTATAGCGACAAACAATAAATCGCTAAATGAGAAATTAGCGACAGATGGTCTGTGAGTTATCTTTAGCGATAGATCATCCATCGATAAATATATTTTTTAGCGTCAGATGTCTGACGGTGATGCGGTGTTGTGGTGTAGTGTTGTTTGCTAGCTTGCTTTATTTTGCTTTGACAGAGAAGGCAAACTTTGCTAAGGTAGGCGAGCAAATTTTGCTCTCCGGCATTCGCAAGGTGAGTCCTTGCTAACACAGACCTCAGAGGCAGTCTGACACATTATCCAAATGCACAACCTTCTTAACTATTCTCACTAGCAAGGCTATACAGTACGTGGCCAGCTATCAAACGTCCCCTAAAATACCTCATTAAATGCCCATCCCTTTACCCTTTAGCTAGCTATTGGATCATCAACATGAATTTCCTCTTCATTCTCCCACATCCTCAGTCTTTGGCCTCTCGACAGATTATCTTCCCTCCGTTATTTTTTGCTATAATTGCTATGTAGGCCCATCACCCTAAAGCCCACTAGACCAGCCAACAAACGATCAGAAACAAAAGAGGCAACAGGCAGCGGCCAGCATATATTTTTTTAATGTATTAGATATATGTCCGTGCGTTGCACCGGGTCATGATTTTTGAACTGAACCTGGACTTCGTATCGGACATGGATACGGGGCTCCCATCTTTATATCCATCTTTATATCGGAACCGGGTTGGACACGGACATGTTGAGGTCGCGGACACGTAGGTGAGCAGGAATCGAAATTTGGTATCACCGAGTAGAAGAGAGATATCGTGTATACATATACTATATATATGTATATTTGGTATACTGTCACGTATTTTAGGTGTGGGCCGTGTGGCGTCCGCCAAACCTCGCCACATCGCTGGCTCCGCCCCTGCGAAGTCGTACTTACCAGAATCAGTTAGCTCGCACCAACCCGCACGAGCACCGAGCGACCGGTCAATGACAAGACTCGCCGCTCCCGGCTCTCGTTTTGAAGGCGAGCCGGCCGCGCTGAGGCAGAGCACGCGAGCTTCTCAATTCCCAAGAAGAGGAGCCCAACAAAAGTCACGTCGGGACCAGCCGGACGGGCCTGCATCTCGTCGTCGTCGATGACGGCCGGGACCATGCGTGTGCTGGGCGGGGAGGTCAGCCCGTTCACGGCGCGGGCGCGCCTGGCGCTGGAGCTGCGCGGCGTGGCGTACGAGCTCCTGGACGAGCCGCTCGGGCCCAAGAAAAGCGACAGGCTCCTCGCCGCCAACCCCGTCTACGGCAAGATCCCCGTCCTGCTCCTCCCCGACGGCCGCGCCATATGCGAGTCCGCCGTCATCGTCCAGTACGTCGAGGACGTCGCGCGCGGAAGCGGCGGCGCCGAGGCTGGCGGCCTGCTGCTGCCGGACGACCCCTACGAGCGCGCCATGCACCGCTTCTGGACCGTCTTTATCGACGACAAGGTGAGCACCGACCACCGAGCAGAGCACATAATTATCTGCTAGCACATTTGTTGTCGGGCGCCTTGTTCCCGCCGGAGACGGCGCGTGTCTTTTAACAGTAACATGCAACTGCTGTGGCTTAATTTCTGCAGTTTTGGCCGGCGCTGGACGCCGTCTCGCTGGCGCCGACCAAGGACGCACGCGTGCAGGCCGTGGTAGACACCCGCGCGGCGCTAAACCGCCTGGAGGAGGCGTTCAAGGACCGCAGCAACGGCGCGGCTTTCTTCTCCGGCCGCGACGCGGCGCCGGGCCTCCTGGACCTGGCCCTCGGCTGTTTCCTGCCGGCGCTCAGGGCCTGCGAGCGCCTCCACGGCCTCTCCCTCATGGACGCGTCCACGACGCCGCTCCTGGACGGGTGGAGCCGACGCTTCGCCGCGCACCCCGCAGCCAAGCGCATCCTGCCGGACACGGACAAGGTGGTGCAGTTCACGAGGTTCCTCCAGGCAAAGTTCGGGGTCCACGAGTCCTAAGTGATTTTCACTGCGTATAAATAAATGGAATAAAGTTGTCAATGCATATTTTGAAATTTGCTTGCAACAAAATCGGTAGATGCTTGCAAACAGAAATCGTCATGGTCACTTTCCGTTTCCAAAGGTGGGATTGGCAGTCTAACCCTATGCGAATAAAAACTTATGCAACACCGACAACTCAATAACTGTTTGGAACACATAAACTTTTTAGGAAACATACATAAATTTCACATAAATCAATTCATGGAAATAAGAATCACGTAAGAATTTCTATGTACTCCCTCTATTCTAAATAGTACACTTAGCTTTGTCTAAGCCAAACTTTTCTAACTTTAACAAGGTTTACAAAAAAAAATGCATCAACATGCACAATATCAAATTGGTCTCATCAAATTGTCCATGGACTAGGTCTTCATCATGCACTTTATTTGAAATTATGCACATGAAAAATAGCATACATACCTAGAACATTCTAGAAGATCGTAATAACATTATACCTTTGCCACATATGGACAAAATCATCTTCATGACAAACAAAGGGAAAAAATAGAATAAGCAATCAAGCTTCATGGCGAATTTAAGAAATTCTACAAGGCTTTGGAGACTGAAGACTAGACATTTTTCATACATAACAAAGACAAAAACATGACAAAGTCTAGAATAACATAGAACGTGTTATATTTAGATCACCATATATGATATATCGAGAAGTATAGAATATTCTAAAATTAAGATATTTTGTGTGGATTGTTTAGATGGTTGTCACTTGACACCAATCGAACTGTTGCCTACAACTATATACTATCTTTATTACACGCTGATACTTAAGATATAATTGGACTGAAGTGAGTAGTTCGTGCGTCAATCACATTTCCAAATCATTTTGAGCCACGCTTAGGGCCAGCCCTAGTGACCTAGCCCGAATCCACTCTGGTACATAATGCGTTTCTTAATGTGGCGTTTGGATAGAACCTAGGAAAGGAAAAGGGAAATGGGTAGGGATCGGAAGAGGTGGATACGGGATAGGAATATAAGACTTCAAACCCATACCCTTGTTTGGCATGAGTGGGATAGGGAATGGAAATAAAAATTTTAGTGACCATATTCAGAACAAAGAATAAACCATCACAAAGCTATAGCTCACTACTGATCAATCGCTTGGCATGTAAATAAAATAAATGCGCAAAGGCTAAAACAAGTTTTTTGAAGCATCGATTTATTAAGGCATACATGCATACACTCAATCTGTACATATTGCAGTGCCAACAAATTTCCACCCAGATGCCAAGTGTTTGGAAATCATCATCTAACTTCAGCAACAAAGTATACAACTTACCAAAATATATAGAGTTCCAGCAAGACTCCTAGTAACGGGAAGTCACCTTTGTTTCTGACTTCACAACACTAAAATATACAGCTTACCACCATGCAGTGAGAACACAATCTCCACTGGATTCCATGTGATTGCAACTGACATGGAATTTTTGACTACACATAACAAAATATACAGATGACCACCATGTAAAAAGAAAGTTCATAGTTTTGGTCAACCATGGTTGACCACTTCCACTAACTTGGAGTTTAGCGTGCTACTTATATACTACACAAAAGGGATTACACGATCCATATGCATGACTAAATTATAGCTTCTTTTTAGATTTTTTCAGGATTTGCTGAACAAACTCAGATTTGAATTCATCTAGAGTAGTAAAGAACAGATTCACCCTTTCCTCGTTCTAACCAATTATTAGAGCAGCTTTCACGATTTGATCTAAAGTAAACTCAGTAAACTTTGTAAGCACGGCGAACAATTGCTCCCTCCTTTCAGCAGTCCGCTTTTCAGCCTCAAGTTCATGGGTAAATGCAGACTGCAGTGCATTCATAGCCTCTGCATTGGTTGCTTCGACTTGCACAAGACTATTGAGTGCTTTAGAAATATTAGAAAACTCCGATGCAAACATGTCATCATCTAGAAACACCCTCTTATGGCAGGCTGCAGATTTAATTCCACTTGCTGGGATGCTACCATGGGATGATGGTTGTGAATGGGAGTCAACTGCATTTTCAAACTGGTGGGTTGCTTCAGTCACATTTCCTGAGGATAGTTCTTCATGCATTTCAAACTTATCTCCAGGGCCTTTAGCCTTCACTCCTTTTGCTGCTCGAACCACCTTCTTCGAGAAGCATCTTCTTGAGGCCAAGGGTGCCTTTGGTGGGTCTCTTGTATGGATGTGCACGCCCGATCTTGCCTCCACCGCTGGGTGCAACGGACCTCTTTGTTGACCCATGGCTTGCTTCGCTCTCCTTCCCTTTGGGTGGCAAGATAGTGTTGACGGTCGATAATGTCAACTATAATCTATTAAAATAATATATAATTATATTTAAAATCAATCATCAATATAGGACTAGTGATTTGAAGCTAACTATTTCCACAAGTTTTGGTGATTTTATAATTATAGAGAATTTATCTAGAAAATAGGCTAAAGCAGGCCATATTATCGTAAGTGATCAGAACCAATCACGACGGAACCAACTCTACTAGGCCTTAAACCATCATTCACAGGCCAGAGAAGGAGCACCACGTGGATGGGGGCCATGGTGGGGTCAGTCGACCCCACCTACATATAGGTCGGTCGACCTCCCCAGCCCCACCTGTCGGCGCTACGGTTTCTCCACCGACCTTGAGGATTAATCTCCACTCTTGATTCAAGTCGGTTTGATCCAATGGTGGGCGTAATAATTGGTGAGGACTGATGACGTGGCGATTGCTTGCTCCCTACTCAATCCTCCCTATAAAAGGACCCCAGACCCCCTCCGGGAAGACACTCCAATTCATTCAAGTTAACTCAGAACTCAGAATTGAGAGAACACCAAAGAACTCAAGAGAGAAGAGCTCCACATACATTCATAGCATAGTTTAGTTTAGTTAGATCAAGTAGAGTCGAGCCACTGCTTGGGATTCCAGATCTAGTCATTGGAGGCTTGGTATAGCTCTTGTATCCTTTATATTTATCTACTTGATGCATTATTCTTCATTTATATTAATATCTTGGTTATTATGTTCTTAGTATATATTGAGTTTATGCTTGGTATAATTAGAATTAGCATTATATCTATGCTTTGGTTCACAGAGCGCCCGACTCAGTGTTCGAATAGGTTGGGTAGCCAGATCATGTGTAAGCGTGGTGCTTATACATTATCTTGCTAGTGGAGGCATACTATACTTTGGGAAGTGGTGGATTTATGTGGCAGTGACCTAATTAGATCCTTTGTAGTCCACTCCATGGGTGTATGTTTAGCAGGACCAATGATCACTATAGAGAAGTCTATTACTATATGCTTGTCTATAGATGATGTCCCCTGGTTAAATACAAGTTAAGTCTATTAATATTGAGTATATACAACGACATATATTGTTTTAACTTGTAATTAAGATAACTTAGGAATTTAACTCACTTGCATTCTAATTAAACTAACTATTGCTTTATAGGAGTCTCTATGAGGATTTATACTTATCATATATATTATATCATTTGATTTACCCCTATCTAAGAGTATGTGTTTAGTCCATTGGTTCATCAAAAGTATAAGTTATCAATCTCTTATTGCCACCATCTTTCCCAGTGGTAAAATATAAATAATGATACCTGAAATGCTCCTGGTAAAATGCTACAATGGTATTTCTGTGCGCTTGCAGAATTCCTTATTTTCTTATGCACTTTATCAAATACCAACAAGCATTTTTGGCATCGTTGCCAGGGAAGGAAAGGCATAAGGCAATTAAAAGAATTGATCAACTTATACTTATTGGTGTACCAAAACTATTCACCACTGCGCTAGCAGGCTTACCCTTGTTTTCTATTTATTTTATATTATATACAGGGTAGTGCTTGATCGATTCAACATTCTTGCAAATTTTATTGAAAATCTAGAATCTCTTATTAGGAAGAGCAAGAAGAGTAAGACCGAAGAAGCATCAACATCTCAATCAAACCAATCAGGAGGAAGCTCAACACTAGTTTCTGAAGCCATGGCTGACAAGACTCTCCGTTAATTCTCTGCTCCGAGCACCGTAAATATTTGCACTAGACCGACGGTGAACACTAGAAAAAATTCATTCAAACTCAAGCCAGCTCTCATCAACATGGTGCAAGCTAGCCAATTCTGTGGAAAGGCACATGAAGATGCAAGTGCTCATCTTCAGCACTTTCTAGAAATTTGCAGCACATTTACTATCAAAGGAGTCACTCGAGATGTCATGTTACTTCATCTCTTTCCATTCTCACTCTTGGGAAAGGCGAAGCAATGGTTCTACGCCAACAAATATAACATCAATACATGGGAAAAGTGCTCCAGTGCATTTTTAGCAAAGTTCTTTCCAATGGGGAAAACTAATGCTCTACGTGGAAGAAATTCAAGCTTTCAACAGCAACATGATGAATCAATTCCTGAAGCTAGGGAATGTTTTCAAGAATACATTTCAGAATATCCTCATCATGGGATGGAGAATTGGTTACTCATGCAGACTTTCTACCATGGATTGACCAATAGTGCCCGTGAAAATATGGATGTTGATGCTGGAGGATCATTTTTATCACTTACAATTACCAATGCAACAACTTTGATAGAGAAAATGGTTTCAAACCCAGGCTAGTTAGAAGATTGTCTTCAACCATCTCAACACCACAAAAGAGGAGGAATGCACACACTTATGGAAGTAGATATGTTGTCTGCTAAGATGGATTTACTCATGAAGAGACTTGAAAATCAACCCAATGAAAAGCATGATGTGATGCAAGTCTATGATTCACATATGACGTGTGAAGTACGTGGAAACACTAGACATTCGGGTAACAATTGTCCTGAGACACAAGAGGATGTGAATTTCATTAACAATAATCCTATTGGATATCGTCCTTAGCAACAAGGACAAGGGTGAAATCAACAATCAAGGCCTAGTTATCATGGTAATTATCAAGGTAACTATAAAGGTAATAACT